AAAAAAAAAAAAAAAAAAAAAAAAGAAAAGAAAAGAAAAAATAACGCTTATGTACAGATTGGTCTTCTCTCTGTTCACTCATTTCTTTGTTTTTTGGATACCAGAGATCGAACTCAAGCCCTTGCCCTTGCGAGGAAGGCAGTGGAACCACTGAGCCAAATCCCTGGCCTTCACTCATTTCTTTATATCCATACAGAGTCAGCTGTTTGTTTTATACCATGTGTTATAATCTAATATCGTATTAACAAACGTTATTCAAATGGTTCCAGCTTTGACCATTGGGAACTTTTTCACTTGCCTCCTGTATTCTGTTTTTTAAAATTATGCTGGGTATTAGATCTACTAGGTTTTGTGCATGCTAGGCATATATTCTACCACTAAGCTGTATCCCCTTTTTATTTTTTTTATTTTGAGACAGTGCCTCACCATGTTGCTAAATTGCCCAGCATGGGCTTGAATTCTCAATCCCCTTGCCTCAGCCTCCAAGAGTGCTAGAATTATAGGTAGCTACCACTATGCCCACTTATCATCAGTCCTTTTTAAATTTTATTTTGAGAAATGGTCTGGCTCAGTTGACCTGTCTGGCTTGCAACTTGGGATCCTTCTACTTCAGTCTGTCAAGTAGCTGGTGTTGTAGGCATGTACCACCTCCTTGGCTCCTGTGTACTTTTGACATGGCTTTATTATTTTGTTTTGTTTTTTAGTACTTTCTTGCTTTCTGTCACTGCAGATTACTCCAGGCTAATCTTGTATACTACATTCTCTAGCTTTAAAAGCTTCATATTTTAAAGCATTTGTCTGAATGCTCTTGAATACATATTGGGATGAGTGGACTCTTGCTCTATGTTGTGGTACACTGAAGAGTTCTATGAAGTTAGAGAAAGGGGTGGAGGAATCTTGTTTCTCACCAGGACAGCTGGCCAGATGGTTGTATGATTGATTCACTGATCCAGGTATCCAGCAGGAGAGTGGGATGTGGGGAGTAGATCACAGAGTGCCTGTGAGATGCCCGGGGTGATGTGTCCCAAGAGCAGTTGTGTTTGGGAGGAGGTACTTGGGTGGGGAAATCTTTTTTTTTTTGGGGGGGGTACCAGGGATCAAACTCAGGACCTTGTACTTAGGAGGCAGATGCAGCACCACTGAGCTAAATCCCTGGCCCTGGGAAATTGTTGATATTATGTGCTAGGCAGAGTGTCCCAGAAAGGGTGTGGAGGAGGGAGCAAGAGCAGACCTGAGTTTTGAAGAAGGTAGGGAAGGAGGAAGTCTAGAAAAAGGTGAAAGTAGACACCAAGGAAGGAAAGGAGATAGTTAGCTCATCATCACTGTGAGGACAAGGATATGAGGCCTCAAGGTTGTCTGTTGGATTTGTGAGATGGAAGGCGTTGGTGAAACCAGAGGAGATGTTTTGGAAGAGCTGGGTACATAGTCAGATTGGAGTGGGCTGGCTGTGTGCTTGAGTGGGTAGGAAATGGAGCCTGGTGTTCGTTCACAAAGTGTGGACATGACTGGGTAGGGAGAAGGTGGGGTTGTGGCAGGGCTTTCACAAGATGTTTACTAAGTACATGTCCTGAACAAAGAGGGCAGGGGCAGGGCAAGGGACTGGGCTGTATTTGGGTGAGGGGGATGCTGATGAGGGCACCTCTGCTTATTATTTACTTTGGGAGCCAGGGGATGAAAGTTTTGAAGGAGCTGTGTCCCTAAGAAAGCAGAGAAGCAGGGACCAGAACAAGCACTGGTGGGTGGGCAGCCCGGGCAGGTGCCCCACATACTTGACTTTTGCTTCTTTGTGTCCACAGGAGGAGGAAGAGAGAAAGGCCCGGGAGGAGCAGGCCCGGAGGGAGCATGAGGAGTATCTGAAAATGAAGGAAGCCTTCGTGGTGGAGGAGGAGGGTGTGGGCGAGAGCATGACTGAGGAGCAGGTGGGCTATTGTTTCTGAGAAGCCTGCAAAACGTGGGCAACCTGTGTCAAGCCCATGTCTGGACACCATCCCAGACACCCGTGGCCAGGCACTGGGAGGTGGGTGGACATTGATACTGCAAGGCCTGGCAGCCAGAGACTTGTCCTCAGTACTCTCACCCTCACTCCTTGTCCTAGGAGGCTCTGCTGCTCATATGGGCAGGGGGTGAGTGGATACAAAGGCAGGTGACACACAGTGAATCTAGGCATGAATACCTGTGGCCTCAGCCAGAGGAATACTCACCCTGATTTCTCTGTCCCTCTAGTCCCACAACTTCCTGACAGAGTTCATCAACTACATTAAGGTAAGAGGCTCAGAAGAGCCCTGTGTCAGTTCCCTCTGTGTGTGTTTGGAGGGCGCACATGTGTTCTCAGAGCTGGAAGACCAGGTCCTGCTCAAGGAGTCCCTTTTCCTTGGACCTGAATGGCGGAGAAGGACCTGGATCTTTGTGGGAGTTGACTGCTTCCTCACATGCAGGATTTGACAGTTCCCCACTCTTCAGACCCCACGCTAAGTGAGTCAGTTTCTAAGTCTCTCCACATGTATTTTTTGTCAGTTCTGTCACACTGAGGCTCCACTGAGTTGAAACAAGCGTCCCCTGCTGTGTGCTCTTGACTGAGAGCTTGGGTCTTCCAAGGAACCAAAATGGTGTTTCCTTTGTGACCTGGGGCAGGGTGGCAGTGTGTCCTTTCCGGCCACAGCCACTGCACGGCCACCCTGATACTTCTCCAGTTGCATAAGCCCATCCTGATCTGCTTTGCTGCTAAGCAACTTCTCCCCAACGAAAGCTGTGGTGAGGGGTGAGGTTTTCAAGTGCAGCTCAGAGGTGCAGAGGCGGCTGAGGGAAGGAGTGCAGAGGGAGCGGGGGCGATGATGGGGGTGGCACCAGGGGCTGCCAAGGAACTAGGGCTTGCATAATCCTCTCCTACCTCTTCTGAAAAAGAGCAGGGTATAGATACCTCCAAGCTGCAGGAGCTGGGCTCATGTCACCGCCTGGGGCCTGTAGTACCTGAGAGGGAGAAATGCTGGCAACTGGTTCCCTCCAACTGCGAGTCTTCCTGTTTCCCTTTCCTGGAGCCCTTTCTCCACACTGCCACACTTGATTAGGGGCTGCTCCCTATGCAGATAACTCTCACTGTCCTGCTACTGTTGAAGCTTGCTGTCCTTTCTACCCAGTGGGCAGCAACATGGTCCTCAAGTGCCTCATCCAGGAAGCCTTTCCAGGTGGGATTTAAAGTTCCCCTCATTTCTGCAGAAACCAAGTGCCCAGGCCTTCCTTTCAGTGACTCCCTGGAGATCCCATTCTTGGGGATTCTCCACACTCTTGGTGCTTCAGAGGTTTTCTAGCCCATGCTGGCTGACTCCTGGAACTGCTGTTTTTGGGAAGGAAGAGAACTTCTGAAGTTCAGTCCACCACCTTCTTCCTCCTCACTCCAATGGAATGGGCCCTTTCAACTTAGGTTTCCAGAACTGAAGGAAGGTTTCTCCATGCTGTGTAGTTCCTGTGAGATTGAGGGAATCTGTCGCTTGATATTGTTGGTTTTATGCTTTCTTTTTTTTGTTTTTGTTTCTTTTTTTGAGACAGGGTCTTTTTTTTTCCTGGTACCAGGAATTGAACTCAGGACCTTGCCCTTGCCAGGCAGGTGCAGCACCACTGAGCTGCCCAGCCCGACAGGATCTCACTGTGTAGTTCAAGATGGCCTTGAACTCACTATATAACTCAAACTGGCCTTGAACTCAGGGTGATCCTCCTGGCTCAGCCTCCTAAGCACTGGGATTATAGGCATGTGCCACCATGCCCAGCTGGTCCTCTGCTTTCTGGCCATGGCTGTGTTCCTCTGTTTGTTCATTTTTTTTCAAGCACACTTTGGCTGCAGCACACCTCAGCTTACATCCTCAGAGATTACCTAGGGTGGTTTTGTGGTCCTGCTCTAAATTGTCACCAAGAGCCCAGTGTCTGCTCCCTGTTTTGAGGTAAAGGCCAGCTGGCCTTGTGCTCATTCACTCCTTGTCTCCACTGTCTCACTGCTTGCACATACAGTTTGGCATTTCAAACAAGTGACATGCTATCTGCAGCTGGGAGGTGTCACAGTGTCACTTCTCCCCCAGCTCATGTGCTGTGGGGATTCATGGAAGCATAATGCCCACACGTTGTGTGTGAGGGAGGTGGGGGAGGATGAATGTGGTGTTCTTGTGTGGTGCCTCCACGCCACCGTAGGAATGGAAGTACCAGTGGGGGTGTGAGGGCATCACATGGAACACGGCACAGGATCGCATGTGGAAGGCACTTGTCAGTGGTAGTGACTGTTATGTTAAGGTGCCTTAGTGCTTCAGATAATGTGAGGATGATGGACTAAAAGAAATGTGAATGTGTCAGGGTTGTGGAGGGTCCAGGCTGAGGGGAACTGAGCAAAGATTATTCAGGAGTGACCCCCACTGACTTCACCATGACACCTCAGCATGTTGGGACTTGTTGATCTCCTCGTGTGCTTGCTCTCACAAGTCAGGCTGTGACTTTGAGAGTAGGAGCTGTGCTGTTTATCACTGTGTCCCTTGTACCTCAGTGCCTTGTCCTTGGGAGATCCTCAGAAAACACAAGTCTTGGTGACAGGTTAAAGTTTTTTTTGTTTTTGTTTTTGGTAACAGGGATCAAACTCAGGACTTGTGCTTGAGAGTCAGGACAGGTTGTATTTTATTTCATTTTTGGCAGTACTGGGAATTGAACCTAGGGCCTTTGCACTGAACTATATCTCATCTCCAGCCCTGTTTTACTTTTTGAGATACAATTTTATTAAGTCACTAAGTTGCCCTGGCTGGGCTCAAACTTGTGATCTGTCTCAGCTTAGTGATAGTGTGTGTCACTATCTATAGGTGGTGATGTGGCCTTAACATGCTAGGCAAGTACTCTACCACTCAGCCAAATCCCCAGCCAAGGGTGACAGGTTTTTAAAATAGCTTTTTTTTTTTGCTATGCTAGGGATTGAATCCAGGACTTTGTATATATTAGGCAAATACTCTACCACTGAGCTACATCACCAGCCCTTTTAAAATTTTGTTTTGAAATGGGGTCTCACTAAGTTGTACCAGCTGGCCTTGAACTTGGGATCCTCCTGTCTCAGCCTCCAGAGTACCTGGGATTCCTGGTGTGGGCCAACATGCCCAATAAAAAACCAATTTTTTTGTTTTGGGGGTTTTTTTTGTTTTTTTGAGACAGGGTCTCACTGTGTAGTTGAGACTGACCTAGAACTCACTATGTAGCACAGGCTGGTCTCCAACTCACAGTGATCCTCCTGCCTTAGCCTCCCTGGTGCTGGGATTATAGGCATGCGCG